CCGGGGTCACACAGCTAGTAAGTGTGTCAAGCGTTTGGTCTGAGGCCAGATTTGAACTCAGGTCCTCCTGACTTCAGGGCCAGTGCTCTATCCACTGCACCACCTAGCTGCCCCAAGAGTTGTCTTCTTAAAGCAAAGGTCTGACCATCTCTCTCTCTCTCTCTCTCTCTGAGGCCTGCTCCAGGGTCGCTGTGGCCTGCGCGCCCACATAGAACTGGCCCCTCAAGGGGCAGGTATATACCTAGGTGTATACAAGATATATCTATACCTATATATCTATCTATACCTTTGTCTATATCTATAATATCTACCGATAAATATCAACAGAGATAGATATAGATTGATATGCTATAGTTATAAATATAGATATTGTCCATTTCCATTGTCCGTTCATTGCCTACTAGCTCTACCTTTTTTTTTTCTCCTGCTTGCTGGGCATTACCTCTGAGCTGGTGCCAGAATCTTCTGTTTGAGGGGAAAATAAACACAGCAGTTTCACATGCAATAGCATGAAATTCTGGAGTCACTAACAGACCAACAGACCAAACATAAAGATAGATATCTATATCCATGTCCATATCCATAGTATATCTATCTATCTAGATATTTACAGATAGATAGATGCTATAGATATAGACGGGGATATAGATAATAGATACTAGTAGATGGTGAATAAAGTTTATTCTGAAAGGGGAAGGCGTTAACTGCTGGGGTCAGGCGGCTGGGTTCTTGTAGTAGGTGGGATTTGACCCAGTCTTGAAGGGAGTCAGGGAAGTGAAGAGGCAGAGGTGAGTAGGGCAGTAGTCCCCCCCCAGACCTGGGGGACAGTCATGAAGACGGGAAATGGGAGATGGAGTAGGTCAGTATGGTTGGATATACAGGACATGAGCAGGAATATGGTATCAGAGGATAGAAAAGGTAGGAAGGGGATAGGTTATGAAGAAATTTAAATACCATTGAGAGAAGTTTGTATTTGACCCTGGAGGTAATAGGAAGCCAATGGAACTCCATGAGCTGGGGAGTGAGATGTTCACACCTGTGTTTTAGAACGACCACCTTGGCTGCTGAGAGATTGGAATAGGGATAGACATGGGTGAGGGGGAGCAGTTGGAAGGCTACTGAAGCAATCCTGTTCACGGGCAGGAACTGCCTTTGACCTTTTTCTTTTTTTTTTCAGCCCAACTTTCTTTTCTTTCTTTCTTTTTTTTAATAATTCATTTATTTTTAGTTTTCAGCATTCACTTCCATAAGATTTTGAGTTCTAAATTTTCTCCCCCTCCCTCTCCTCTCCCCTCCCCAAGAGGAGAGTATAATCTGATGTAGGCCCTACTTATATATTCATATTAAGCATATTTTCCCATTAGTCATGATGTATAGAAGTATTAGAACTAATGGGAGGAACCACGAGGAAGAAGAAATAAAACAACAAAAGAAAAGGAGATCAAATAGTCTGCTTCCATCTGCATTCAAACTCCACGGTTCTTTTTCTGGATGTGGATAACATTTTCCATCATGAGTCTTTTGGAGTTGTCTTAGATCCTTGCATTGCTGAGAAGAGCTAAATCTATCACAGTTAGTCATCACACAGTGAGGCTGTTACTGTGTACAATGTTCTCCTGGTTCTGCTCATTTCACTCAGCATCAGTTCATATAAGTCTTTCTACTTTTTTCTCAAGTCAGCCTGCTCATCATTTCTTATAGCACAATAGTATTCTATTACATCCATATACCACAACTTGTTTAGCTATTCCCCAATTAATGGGCATCCCCCCAATTTCCAGTTTTTTGCCACCACAAAAATGTTACAACTATTTTTGTACATGTGGGTCCTTTCTCCATTTTTATGATCTCTTTGGGATACAGAGCTAGAAGTGGTATTGCTGGGTCAAAGGGTAGGCATAATTTTATAGCCCTTTGGGCATAGTTCCAAATTGCTTTCCAGAATGGCTGGATCAGTTCACAATTCCACCAACAATGCATTAGTGTTCCAATTTTCCCACATCTCCAATGTTCATAATTTTCTGACCTTCCTTTCTTTTTTTCCCAACACTTAGCACAGTGCCTGTCACATTGTAGGTGCTTAATAAATGCTTATTGAACTAGGGTGGAGGCTGGATGAGTGGAGACAAAGGGGCATATACAAGAAATGTTGTGAAGATAGAAATGTCAAGATTTGGCAAGAGATTAGATAGGGAGGTGACGAGAGAAAGTGAGTAGTCAAGTCGTCAAGTCAAGGGTGGTGCCCTCAACAGCAATAGGGAAGTCCAGAATGAAGGAGGGTTTGGGGATGGGGCTGGGAAGATAATTAGCTCTATTTTGAACCTATCAAGTTTGGGATATCTACAAGATCTCCAGTTCAAGATGTCCAAGAAGCATTTGGAAATGCACAACTTGCTATTACCAAAAAGACATGGGCTAGATACAGAGATCTGGGAATCACCAAAATATTGATGATAATTGAGTTCATGGGAGCTGATGGGGTCATTGGGTGATTTAATATAGACTTTTCAGTTGTACATTTTAAGAATTCCTTCTGCTTGCCTTGGGAAGGCTTTTCCTTCTATGAACTGGACACCTCTCTGCTGGGGGAATCTCTGACCTGGATAGCTTGGGTGGCCCTCATCAAGTCTGTCCCACTAGAATGACCTAATGGGGAATAAACATAGCAGAATCACTTTACACGTGCTGAAGCCCATTTTTTATTTTCTGGGATCTAGCTTCCTTCTTAGGAAGCACATAAATGATCCCATGAGAAAGGATCCTTCTCTTTTTGTTTCCTTTCCTTATTCCCCACTTTCCATTGTCCGTTCATTGCCTACTAGCTCTACCTTTTTTTTTTTTTTTCTCCTGCTTGCTAGGCATTACCTCTGAGCTGGCTCCAGAATCTTCTGTTTGAGGGGAAAATAAACATAGCTGTTTCACATGCAATAGCATGAAATTCTGAAGTCACTAACAGATCAAATGAAGTGGTCTGAAATTTCCCAATATTTGCTCTGGCATCCAAACCAAATCTCTTGTCCCAGGAATCTGAAATGTAGGACCATTTTGTAAAGAGAAGAAAAGAAGAAAAAAAAAAACCCAACGAAACCCTATGTTGAGTCGAGAGGTTTTCAGGGCAAGAATTTCAGCTGGGATGAACTTTGAAATTCAAACTGAGAAAAATGGCAAAGTTGAGGCCCTTGAAAGCAGGGGCAATGTGGTTCAGTGGAGAGTGTGTGCTAGGTCCAAAATCAAAGGATCTAGGTTCAAATCCTACCACTGCCACTTATGTGACCTCAGGCAAGTTACTTTTTTTTTTTGAGGCAATTGGGCTTAAGTGACTTGCTCAGGGTCACACACTAGTAAGCCTCTGTGGCTGTATTTGAACTCAGGTCTTCCTGACTCCAGACCAGGTGCTCTACCCACTGTGTCACCTAGCTGCCCTTAAGTTACTTTCATGATATTAAAAAAGCATAAGTGACTTCATTTTATTTTTTTTTTAATTTTGTTTTTACTAGGCAATGGGGTTAAGTGACTTGCTCAGGGTCAGACAGTTAGTAAGTGTCAAGCATCTGAGGCCAGATTTGAACTCAGGTCCTCCTGACTCCAGGGCCAGTGCTCTATCCATCTGCTCCTCTGCTAACATTTAAAGGTAGGCATTTAAACCACTTCACCTCCTTAGTCCAAACTTCCTTTCTATCCAGCCTTATCATATATGACTCCCCTTCAGGCAGACTATGGTCTGGCCAAGTTGGTTTTCTTGCCTTTCCTCATACAAAGAACTCTATCCATTTTCCAGTTGCTGTCCCTTTGCCCAGGCCATTCCCCAGGCCTAGAATTCACTCCCTTCATACCATCTGCCTCTTAGAACTCCAAGTTTACTTCAAAGATTGGCAGCTAGGTGGCACAGTGGATAAAGTTCCTGGAGTCAGGAGGACCTGAGTTCAAATTCAGTCAAATTCAGATCCAAATTCTCTTCTCCTCTCCCAACCCCATGAGAAAGCAAGAAAAACAGACCCTATTACAAACACGTAGAGCCAAGCAAAACACATTTCTGCCCTGATGGGGCAAGAGTTCTTCACCTTTTTTGTGTGTCCTGGACCCCTTTGGCCACCCCCTGGGGAAGCCAGGGGCCTCCTTCTCAGAATCATGTTTGGAAGTAATTGAAGGACACGCTACATTTCAATTATAGGTTAGGGAAAATAAAAATGTAATTTTTTTTCTCATCCAAGTTTACAAACCCCCTGAAATCTCTCCCCAAACCCTAGGATAAGAACCCCTGCATTAAGGGGTATCAGGTCTGGGCTTGTTTGGACCTGCGTCTGTGATGCTGTTCTCCTTTTCATCTAGCCCACCAGTGCCAGGAAGTCCAGGACAAAAGCTCTAGGAAGGGGCTCTTCAGAAAGATGATCTCTGAGACTCAGCAAGGACTTCTAGTGCATTCCCTCTGTTCATTATGTCCTGTTTCTCCTGCTTATGGCTTGCTTTGTACATATTTGTTTGCATTTGGATTATAAGCTTCTCCAAGGCAGGAACTGTCTGTTTTGGTGTCCCCTGGGTCTTAGGCCAGCAACCAAAGGATAGTACACACTTAATAGATGTTTATTGATGTTTATCTTAGTATCTCAAGATCTGTCTGCATGCACCAGGTTTCCCAGCATAACAGTGCAGTTAGGTGGCACAGTGGATAGAGCTCAGGCCTAGAGTCAGGAAGACACCTCTTCTTGAGTTCAAATCTGGCCTTAGACATTAACTAGCTGTGTGACCCTGGGCAAGTCACTGAACCCTGTGTGCCTCAGTTTCCTCATCTGTAAAATGATCTGGAGAAGGAAATGGCAAACCGCTCTAGTACCTTTGCCAAGAAAACACTAAATGTCGCCACGAAGAATCTGTCACAGCTAAATAACAATCCCCTGAGCTCACAGTGACCCCAATTACATCGTATTCACTTTTTATGTATCTTCCAGTCTTATTTATGTACATATTTTCCAATAGGCACATGTGTATCATTTACGGCTTACCTCTGTAAAGGGAATTTGACATATCTTCTAAGAGGATAGCACCATCTTGGGCAGTCTAGTCATATGCCAAAGTCCCATTACTCATTGTTACTCCCAAGATGTTAAAAGACCTAGAGGAAGGCTCTGGTGGTAGATCATTACTGGAGGCTTGATGGGAGTCTAAGAAGGATGAGAAGGCATGAATCAGTTGTGATCTGCTCCATTGGGAGGAATAACCACATTGATGAGATCATGGTTCCAGAAAAGTATGGAGGAATAAGAAGTATGAACCTGTTGCTTAATCACAATAAAAATAAAATGATGTGCATCTCTTGCTAAAAAAAAAAATTATATATATATATATATATATCTCCTTCTTTTTTCAGTAGAGAGGTGAGGGATCAGGAGTGTACTGTAAATATTTATCAATTGTATTTCTGGGGGAGAAAGTATGCAGGACACACTTTTTAGTTTAATCTGCATTGTTAAGATTTTCTCCATCACTTTCTTAAGTCTAGAAATCAACAAAAGAGATGATCAAACTGATTTGTAACACTTGCTAATTTCTGAGGTGTAAATGTTGAGGGCAGCTAGGTGAATCTTTCCCTAGGACTAGCCTCAGCTGTCTTATTTCCTCAAAATCTTGAGCATTACGGCCTTCAAACTTTAAAGCAAGAAATTTTCAGCTTCAGCTACCAAAATCTTTTGAACAAAGAGTTGTGTCCTTCCTGGGCCAAGGTTTAGCAGCTAGGTGGCATGGCAGATAGAGGACCAGACCTGGAGTCAGGAAGACTCATCTTCCTGAATTCAAATCTGGCCTCAGACACTTACCAGATGTAGACCCAGGGCAAGTCAGTTAACCCTGTTTGCCTCAATTTCCTCATCTGTAAAATGAGCTGGAGAGGGAAATGGCAAACCATTCCAGTATCTTTGCCAATAAAACCCCAAAAGGGGTAATAAGGAGTTGATTGTGACTAAAAAATGACTAAACAACAATGACAAAGTGTTTACTCTGAAAATTTCACAATTAGCTCTAATGAATGGATGTGAGCTGGCTCCAGCACACCCCGTGAGCGACTAAGGGTACAGAATGTTAAATGCATTGTTTTGTTCATCCTTTTCTCTTCTGTTTTTCTTTATTTAAAAGGCAGGGCTCGAGGGGAGTTGGGGAGGAGGTAGATTGGGAAACGACTATGATGTAAACAATTAAAAAGTTGAAAAGAAACATGAGATGCACAAGTTTAGAGACAACTCCGCTCCAAATGTTTATATGGACAATTTGTGCCCGACTGGTGGGAGAGCTTTCTAAGCTCATAGTGGTCTGAGCAACCACAGTTGGACACACTGTACCTTGACCCCAACACAGTGATGTCCTTTTGGTCCCCTTCGAAAGTGAAGGACAACAGCCAAAGACACTAGTAAAACTTTAAAAAAAGATAAATTGAGAAAAATACGGTGATTGGGGAACATCAAAACAAAACTAATTGTCACCTTGGTGACTGGGGTGTTTGGACATCTTCAGAAACTAGGCATTTATTATCAATTTGGATAAATCCAGAAGATACCTATTCTATCTTAACAGTTGACTTGTGAATGATGAAATTGACTAACAGGACCCATATGTTAATAGATTAAGTCAAACATTTAAAAAAAAGATAAATGATTTATTTAGCAATAAACGCAGTTTAACATTTGGAACAGCTGCTGGGCCCAGGCAGTGAGGACACTGTGACCTCTTCATTTCCACAAAAGGGAATTTTTGCTCTGGATCCACACACATGGTCCAAACTGGGTTATATTCTGAGCGACCCTGTCCTCTTAACGAAGAGGTTAGGCTCCCTTTTCTCACACTCATTGATTTGTTAAACTTTTACCTTGGTGACTCAGGGATGATTTTCTTAAAGTTTAGGTTTTGGCTCATGTCCACATTCTCCCCAAAGTGGGAGTAGAAAGATACAATATGAATGAAGCATGGAAGAGGCGCTTATTTCCTACATTCAAAAGAAATGCTAAACATAAATGTCATAAATATGTATTCACAAGGACTTAAAACAGGATTCTGCAACTTAATTTATAACTACCCTTATACAGAGTCAGAAGGTTGATACTTAAAGCCATTTAAAAATGAAGCCATTTTCAGTACTACTGATTAGGCATTTTACATTTCACCTTGGCTCTGTACTGTCTACCTCAAGTTCCATGTTTTCTGGCTAGCCAGGCCAGGGCTTGATTTCCTCTTCTCTGATGCAGAAGTTTCTCCCAGTGACAGCTCTACCCAATGGCCCTGGGTCCTCTGGACTTCTCAAACTCACAAGATTATTTCCAAGCTTAGACTCCATCCATCTCAGTGTTGTTTGGTCACCTACTCAGGAAAGGAAATACAAAGTGGCAAAAATAGCTGGGAAGCCAGGTAAAAGCTCACCTACTTGAGTCTTTCTGATCTAGTTGCCATGTGACAGCAGCCAGGGTGGGGGAAAGAGTGATACCCACTGTCCCATTCCCCATTCTTTTATGGGAAGTCTAGCAGAAGAGAGCACCATTTGCTCCAGGGAAGAGTCGAAAGACAAGAACTGGGGCAAAATCACTCTCTTTTTTAAGGTCCACTTCCTTCTTTACCAGGTGGTTTCATCACCTCCAAGTCCTTATTCTCTTCAAGGCTGAGTAATGCACATGATTAGCCAGAAGCTGCAAGGGCACCTTTGTGCATGTCCTATTCAAGCCCCAATTATGAAAGAATAAAAAAAACAACCTGTTTGTTTATGACTCATTAGCTCGTGATGCCGAGGATAAGGACTTACTTATTCCACTTTTTATTTACCACTTAGCATGGTTCCATTTTGTAGCCACAAGTTTCACCTCTGAGCCCAGTTGCTTGTTCCCCAATTAGACTATTTCTCCCAAGAACATTAAGGCAAGAGAATGGTTTGAGCTTCTCAGTTCCATTACCCCATGGGAAAAATAGCTAAAAATTCATGTCCTGCTGAAGGTAGGTCAATAGCATCTTGTTCAATAAGAATCTATTGTTATATGAACAGAGTCACAAACAATTCCATATCTGTGCTATGCTTCTACTAATATTGACTTGGAAGAATTGAATATATGACTGACAGTTCTTCAATTCAGAATATTTTTTCATAGTTATTGAAGACCAGTGGTGAACACTGAAGGGCCACAAATTATTAATAGTAAGCTTTACCAAAAATTGTCACTTTTGGGGGAAAAACAAAACAAAACAGAATAAAAACCCAAGAGCAGGCAACATCCCAAAAAGAAAAAAAAAATTGAAAGGGTTACCAAATATTAAAACCTGTTAGAGAGAGTAAATTACCATCAATATAAGTATCTGAGTACCTCATCTTTTAAAAAAATTTTTTTTTTTATTTTAGGCAATTGGGGTTAAGTGACTTGCCCAGGGTCACACAGCTAGTACATGTCAAGTGTTTGATTTGAGGCCAAACACTTTGGTCTGAGGTTCTCCTGACTTCAGGGCAGGTGCTCTATTCACTGCGCCACCTAGCTGCCCCCTGAGTACCTCATCTTTAAAACATTTTGGGGTCCTACAATCCCTTGATGTTTTTTTATTCTGATGATCCTGTTATCAGCCTCTTGGTTTAGTAATTCAATAAGGAACATTTATTAAGTACTTACTGTGTGCCAGACATTTTGCTAAGTACTGGGGTTACAAAGAAAAGCAAAAACAGTCTTTGCTCACAATCTAAAGGTGGGAACAGCATGTAAAAAACCTAGGTGCATCAGGGGGATCCTGGTAAATATTTAACAAACAGGCCTCTGAAAAACAAAAATGTGTGTGCACATGCTTTTAATAAAAGATTTAAAAATTTAGTTTCAGTTAAAATCTGCCTTCTTACCCTTTCACCCTTCTCCAATTGAGAACAGGAGAAAGGCAAAACCCATTACAAACATGTATAGTCAATCAAAATTAATTTTCACAATGGCCACATCCAAGAATATATTTGCTCCATTCTCTATTCTGAATCCTTGCCCCCTCCCGTCAGAAGGTGGGTAGTGTGTTTCATCATTAGTTTTCTGGAATTCTGCTTGGTCATTGGTAAGAGTTTAGCACAATAGTATTCTATCACCTTTATATACCATCACCTATTTATCCAATCCCCAATTTATGGACACCCTCTCAGATTTACATTCCTTGTCACCTCAAAAAGAGTTGCAAATATTTTTGTAGATTCTTAGAGTTTGTTTTGCTTGGAACTAATCTGTCCCTTAATTTACCTACCCTCTAATTCTCCCTGCTCCTTTCCCCCCTTCCCTCATTTTCCTTTTGAGGAACAGACATTTCTGTTCCTGTTCTCTGTGTGCATGTATTTGACCAGTTCAGATGAGAGTGAGACTCAAGTGTCAGTCACGTCCCCCCATCCTCTCTTCCTGGTTTTGTACAGAAGTTGGCTTGTGTGCCCTGACTATGTAAAATAATTTCCCCTAACCTTCCTGTCTCTTCCCACTCTTCAGCTCCCTAAAGTGTATCCCTCTCTCCAGTCTTTTCTTAAGATTATCAGTACATAAAAGAACCTTGTCTAATTGGACTCCTCTGACACCTGACGATGATAGAGTTTAGAGGAGACCCATGTATTTCGGCTTTTTGATTTCAATATTTCTGATTGTCATATGGAGTCATTAGCTTCTACTTAGCCCATTTGAGCTCTTAGGGAGTTTGTTGCTTGGGCAAAGTTTTATGCCTCTTGTGCCAAGCTACTGGTTTATGTTTCTCTTCTTTCTTTCATGACTCTCATTTCTTTTCCAGTCTTTTCCTCAAGCACTCTCATTTCATTTACAAAACCATTTTTTAAAAATCTCTTTCTAAAAACAAAAACAAAAGAAGAAACGAAACAGAAAAAAGGGCAGCTAGGTAGCACTGTGGATAGAGCACTGGCCCTGGGGTCAGGAGGACCTAAGTTCAAATCCAGCCTCAGACACATAACACTTACTAGTCGTGTGACCCTGGACAAGTCACTTAACACCCATTGCCCAATTCCCCCCCGCCAAAATCTCTTTTTAGCTTTTGTTTCATCTCTTCTAGGAATTCCAGTTGAATATTTGTCCAAGCTGTGGGTTTTCCTCTGAGACTTTGCTTGGGGACATTTTGGAATCATTCACTTATTCTGGATTTTGTGTCTTGAGCTTCTCTGTCAACATAATAGCTCTTCATGGTGGAATTTTTTTTTTATTTGCCCATTCTTTCAACCTGCTTCCTGAATTTGGACTTGATATTAGGGCTGGGCTCTGCAATATTTCTGAGCTGTTGCTATTGCTGCTTTCTTGGGATATTGAATGTTGTGTTCTGGGATCTCAGGGACAGAATGGGAAACTATAAGCTTCCAGTACTCCCAAAATGGTTTGATCCAGGGCAAAGTATGATTTCTGCTGCCCTGGTCTGAGTTCTGCAAGTTTCTGACTCAGGTTTGGATCTGAGCAAGAATAGACGGCTGATGGATTCAGCCTCTTTCTGACAGGTGGAGTATTTCTATTGGTTCTGAATTATAGGTTCCCCTTTGGTCTAGGACTCCTGCCCTGGTTATTCCTCTGGAAAGTTTTCTTGGTTCAGCATGACAAGTTTCTCTTTGGCATAGGACTCCTGACCTGGTTATTCCTCTGTAGGCCGGGTGAGATGCTATTAATTAGATCCTGCTCTGAGTTTGGGGTTTAAGCTACGCTACTGCTGGTGCTGTTGCCATAGCTGCTGGCTTTTGAATGTTTTCCTTCCTTGGTACACCACCCAAGGGCTCCCTACACAAGAAACCATCCCCTGTGCAGGTCCCCTTCTCCCTCTACCTTACGTCTATTACCTGGAACTAGGTAGTGGATGACAGAGTAGTCAGATGACAGAGCGGAAGACGGGTGCCAGTTGGCACCTATACTTGTCACAGTGGTGTGGTATGGGTCTGACTTCCTCTTGTTCTGGTATGCAGTTTTATGCAGCCTCTCCCGGGTGCTGGAATACTAACACGTGGGATATTCTTCACCTATCCCATCCTAATGTCTATATATTTCCTTGTCTGGCTCCCTATGCTGATCTGGGTTGAATAGATGACTCATTCTGGCTTTTCCTGTATTTCCTCATCAGGATTTGATCTACTGCATATTCCATGTCTTTTTGAAGGAGTTTGGGAGACCGGAGTTCAACACATTGCTTCCTACCTTTCCATCGTCTTGGCTCTGCCTCCAACGTAGACACTTATAAGTTTAATCAGTATTATTAATACTTTCTTAAGTCTAGACAAGAAATAAAACAATAGATTAAGCCATGATTCGTAGTGATAGCTGATTTCTGAGACGTAAATGCTCACATTGAAAATTTAACAATCAGCTTTCACAAGGCCATCAGAGCTGACTCCAGCACACCCCTGGGTCATAGTCATTTTTGAGGCACCTACTATGTGCCAAGTATTATGCTAAATGATGGGGATGCAACGAAAGGCAAAAAACAATCTGCTCTCAGGGAATTCACAGTCTAATAGGGGAGGCAAGCATGAAAACAACCATGTAAACACAAGCTATAGAAAGGATAAATTGGAGATTCCATAAAGGAAAGGCGACAAATCAGAAGTAAGGCATTTTATATATATTATATATTATATATATATGTATATACATATATATGTATATATTACATATAAAGTGTCAATGGCAGGCAATCTCAGAAAGATGGGCACTAGCATTGAGGAAAACCTGGGAAAGATTTCTTGCATTTTAACATTTGTTGTTTTTTTAAGTTTTGAGTTCCAAATTCTATCCCTCCCTCCCCTCCCCCCTCCCTGAGACAGTAAGCAATCAGATATAGGTTACACACATGCGATCATGTAAAACATTTCCATGTTAGTCATTTTGTACAAAAAACTCGAATAAAAGAAAAAGAGTGAAAGAAAAAAGAAAGTGAAAAGCATGCGTCAATCTGTATTCAAACAATATCAGTGTTTCCTTGTTAGACCTTGTGTTGCTGAAAACAGCTAAGTCATTCAGAGTTCTTCATACAATGTTGCTGTTACCGTGTACAATGTTCTCCTGGTTCTGCTCACTTCACTATGTGTCAGTTCATATAAGTCTTTCCAAGTTTTTCTGAAATCATCCTGCTTGTCATTTCTTATAGCACAATAATAGCCCATCACAATCATATACCACAGCTTATTTAGCCATTCTCCAGTTGATGGACATTCCTTTGATTTCTAATTCTTAGCCTCCACAAAAAGAGGTGCTATAAATATTTTTGTATAAATATGTCCTTCCCCCCTCCTTTTTATGATCTCTTTGGGATATAGACCTAGCAGTGGTATTTAGTGCTGGATCAAAGGATATGGCACAGTTTTATAGCACTTTGGGCATAATTCCAAATTGCTCTCCAGAAAAGTTGGATCAGTTCACAACTCCACCAATAGTGCATTAGTGTCCCAGTTTTTCCACATACCTTCCAACAATCATCATTTTCCATTTTTGTTATATTATCCAATCTAATAGGTGTGAGGTGGTACCTCAGAGTTGTTTTAATTTGCATTTCTCTAATCAGCAGTGACTTTGAGCATTTTTTCACATGACTATAGATAGCTTTAATTTCTGCATCTGAAAACTGCCTATTCGTATC